GATTTGACTTTGTATCTGTAAGTAACAAAAAACTGGTATTTTATAACTATTTATACAATTTATAACTGTCTAAATGATTATGTCCCTATGTCTCTGTAGATCCCCTGAAGAAGACAATAAAACTTGTCGAAAGCTTGGGCGTTGATATAATAACATTGTATGTTTGAAGACCACAACCCGAATCCCAATCAACATCGTATGAAAGCTGGTTGATCGCACAACAAACATTAGTCTCAGCCGGGTGCTTTTCCTCTTCATTATGCAGTTCTACAGAGACATGGAAAGTCGATGGGGCTCCGCAATATGTAACAAGTTCAAATCATATTCTAACACTATAAGAAAGTTTATAAATTGTAAGTCGAGGAGATGGTTTCTTCTTAAGTGTAGAACCAATGGGGTTTTCCCTACTCATATCACGAACAATATAAAAAAAACAAAAAAAACAAAAAAAAAAACAACTTATATTTGCTAGTTGAGAGAGATTGTCCTATCAATCATTTAGTGTATAAAGAAGCCATTCGCATTAAAAAACGTATCCTAAACATTGAAATCAAAAAATGCATCTGGACAATAAAGGAATTTGAAAAACAACTTTCTCAATTAAAGGATGAACTCACACAACTCTTACCAGATAACACATTAAGTCAATATTTCAACAGTCAAGAAACTTTCAGTACCAGGTATTTTAAACAAAAATGTGATAGCCTAAATAAGAAATTTGATAATCTAAAAAAGCAGCAGTCTTCGGCTGTTAAACCGTTAGAATCGAACAAATATGTCAAAAATTTAACAACTACATTAATTCCAAGTGATATTTCAAATGTTTTAGGCTTAGGGCCAACATACAATATGCCTTATCCAAAGGGGTGTTTCCCCACCAAAGATCTTAACACGGATGTGGAAATGATTGTCAGTAATATCAAAGACCAAAAAGAAAGAAATAATGTTAGAGCAGACTCAGTATGCATTATAAGGAATGGTCTTACAAAAAGCAATGCATTCACCAGCTCCCCCCTTGAAAAATCTATAACAAAAACTTGTGTTTTCATTAAAAACAATCCCAATCTAGTTATCTCGAAAGCTGATAAAGGTAATGTGACAGTAGTGTTTGAAAAATCCCACTACAAAAGAAAAATGGAAGAACTTTTGAGTGATAAAAACGCATACTCCTTAGCTAGATCTGACCCTACAAAGAAAATTCAAAGTAAATGCAATTCTCATAGCCTTTTTGAGTCTGAATATATAGACAGAAGACAAAAAGGGCTGTTGAAAACGAGCAACGCGGTTTGCCCAAAGATATATGGCCTTCCAAAAATACACAAACCAGGCATACCCCTTCGGCCCATAGTGTCCTCCATTAATAGCCCAGGAACAGAACTGTCTAAATATGTTGGTAACATATTAAACAAGCTGGATGTAGACAAACATTATAACATCCTCAATGCGTTTGTGTTTAGAGAGATGATAAAAGACCTCACCATAGAGGATGATGAATTGCTTGTTTCCCTAGATGTGAAATCATTGTTCACAAGTATACCACTAGGGATGATAAGCTACACTTAATAAGGAGACAGAAAGAGTTAGATGCCCTTACCAACATCCCTTTTCACAGGATACTGGAGGTCTTACAAACCACTACATTTAATGGATATTTTAAGTATGAAGATCAAATATATACACAAAAAGAAGGTGTGGCCATGGGAGGTACACTTTCACGGTGCTTGCAGACCTGGTAATGAATGAGCTACTGGACTGGATTGGTCTTAATTTTAAATTTCACATCAAATTTCTTAAAAATAAGTTGATGACTTGTTTTTGATTGTAAAAAAGAGTGAGCTGGTGGACATTTTGAAGGCGTTTAATTCTTTCCATCCGTCACTACAATTTACGCAAGAAACTGATGTGGATGGGAAACTTCCTTTTCTTGATGTAGTTGTCATTAGAGATAATGGAAAATTAATAACTAACTGGTATTGGAAACCAGCCAGCTCTGATAGGATGCTACATTTCTCATCCAACCATTCCTTTCAAATGAAAGCTAACATAGTTTTTAACCTCATGGACAGGGCTCTGAAATTGAGTGATGATCGGTTCCATAGTGAGAACAAGGAAAAAGTGCTCTCTATGTTAGTAGACAATGGTTATCCCAGATCATTAATAAATAAATTAATGGAAAACAAGACAAGAGCAACAAGGATTGAGAATATAACTGTCGAGCGGAAACTTTATCAACCAGTTACATATGTAGCTGGAACATCAAGCAAGTTAAAAAAACTGTTGAATGGAAAAATAGATAATGTAAAAACTGTTTACAAATTTAGCAATAAAGTAGGTAACAATTTTTACACAAAACTTAAATGTAAAGAACCTCTACGACAAAAATCTAATGTAGTGTATCGCATTAAATGTGCACAATGTCCCACTGTGTATTACGGCCAAACAAAACAATATTTATCCGAACGGGTGCGGCAACATAAGTATGATTGCAATGATGAAGAAAGGCCGGGAACAGCACTATCCAAACATACACACGCTACGAAACATAATTTTGACTTCGATGGAGTCAAAATTGTGGCTTCTGAACAAAATACAGGTCGTAGACTTTTGAGGGAAATGATATCTATTCATCAGGACAACATGGCCTGTAATTTAAAAACAGATCTGAATAATTTAAGTGTGATGTACAGTGGGATCCTAGAAAAAGATAAGGTCTCTCCCAAAAGATCGTAACAATACTTGCGTACATATTTATTTATTTATCTATTTATTTATTTATATATTATAACAGGCTGTGATAACATAGAATTACCAATGTATTAGAAATTAAGATCTTGTTTTTAAAAATTGTGGGAAATGATTGTTATCATTAGGTGATAGTGTGGGGAACCTCCCACCTGATAACGTGATAAACACAATTTTCTAGTCAAACGCCTGTGATATTTATGTACCAAAAGAATATTATTTATTAAGTAATTGTTACTGGTTTTAAAAAATGCCTATATATGTAAGAGGCTGTTAAGAAGAGGTTTTTATTTATTTATTTATTATATATGTATATAGTTTGTTTGTATACATATCGTGGAATGTGCAATGTGTTTACGATTTGACTTTGTATCTGTAAGTAACAAAAAACTGATATTTTATAACTATTTATACAATTTATAACTGTCTAAATGATTATGTCCCTATGTCTCTGTAGATCCCCTGAAGAAGACAATAAAACTTGTCGAAAGCTTGGGCGTTGATATAATAACATTGTATGTTTGAAGACCACAACCCGAATCCCAATCAACATCGTATGAAAGCTGGTTGATCGCACAACAAATATAAGATATACATAAATACAAGAACATTGTAATCCCCCAAAACATCGCGGCATTTATGTCAAACCTTCACCGTCATGTTTGTTTACGCGATCAAGCGGCCTGCTAAGAAGAAATTTGTACTTGGGGATTTTCTTCAATAGGTTGTTTTTTCTTTAGTTACAAACACGTTATTCACTATTGATTGTGGATAGTTGTAGTGCTTTTATTGTTTTCTCATTTTTTCTACACCCAGCCTTAAAACATAGCAGTTTTCATATCAAATTTTATAAAATTAAATTTTGGCGATTAATTTTTTTTCATTCCTAAAGTAACACGTAGGAGAAAGATTTAAATTAAGTTATATCGAAATTTACACGTATATAGGTTTTAAACCTCGTTTTACCAATTTTTTTTAGAGAGGAAACTGATTTAGGCTAACTCTGTTACCATTACCGCCAACTCGTTCGAGGCACCGGGTTAAATTCCGTGATGTATCAAGCAAGATTAGTTAGGCTTTATCAGTTTTCCCAACTTACTTCCACTGAGATGGATACGCTGATAAAGCACCAACTTGATGGAAACATACTGAAGTTCACCGGTATGGATTACAGATTAATATAATTTTAGCATTCATACCGCTTGGCTATTACCATGTAATTCTACACATTCAAATATGAAACTAATATTGAATAATGTAAGGAAATTGTGAGAAGGGTTTGTCGCTTTTAAGAACAGAGCGAATTCCAAAAATATTTTGACCACTATGAATTTATTCGTTGGCAATAGACAAATTTCAAACAAAAGCCTTTTATGAATCGTAAGAAAAAGGAATAAAAGAAGAGAGAAAGAGAGAGATAGAGAGAGAAGGAATGAATGAATAAATGTGGTTTTATTTAATGTCGCAGAATTTGACCAAATATTGATCACTTTTCTACAACATAATTTTCTATAATTACAAACAATGCATTTAAGTTTTTCTTTTATTCTAAATTAATTTGTGTTGCAACTACATAATTCAAATGTATACATTGTCACGTAATATTCGATTTCAATTTTAGAAAAAAAATGAATAATTGATTATTTATTATTATAATTTGTTGTAATAATAAATAAAGTTTAATCATTATTATCTTGAGATCGTGAGATACGGTCTGGAGTGACGTAGGTTTTAGAAAAAAATTTTCTTTATCGTGCCACCGTTTCGATCTTTATTGAGATCATCTTCAAGGCTCAAAGTGTTTGTTTTCTGAGTAGTTGTGTCATTCTTGTGTGTCGTGTTGAGAGTGCCCACTTTGAGCCCTGAAGACGATCTCTATGAAGATTGAAACGTTGGCATGATAAGGAAAATGTTTGTCTAAAACCTACGTCACACTAGACCGCATCTCACGATCTCCGAATAATCATTGACTAACGGTCACTAAACATCACACATTAATTAATAAACATAAATCATAAGGAAAGTGAAAGAGTGTTGGAAAGAGAGAGCGAGAATTAAAGACAGAAATATATATAGATTGATTTAAAAAAATTGTGTATGGAGAATTGATTTTACAAGTGGAGAATTACAAGTTTGTGGTTTAGCAACATCTGTATTTCTTATATGTATGTACCTGTTCATTCAGCGTAAACAAAAATTGCACAGATTAAAACACATATTGAAATAGTTGGTCAATCGTATTTTCTGTTTTGTTACAGGGATGTGATGAAATCGGAATACCGACCCCAGCCCTGATATGAATAACGAGACTGAGGCCGAGCTGTTATGCGGCCATTACGGCAACTGCAGCGAAGTGACCATCCATGACGACATCATATTCGACAATATTGTCCAATCGATTTTCTGCGTGCTGTACACGTCCATCTTTGTGCTGGGCCTTTTTGGCAACGTGCTCGTCTGCTACGTCGTCGGGCGCAACAAGGCAATGCACACGGTCACAAACTGTTTCATCTCGAACCTTGCACTTTCGGACATCATGCTCTGCATACTAGCCGTCCCTTTCACTCCCCTTTACACCTTTTTAGGTGAGTTAATTTTTTTTCTGTAATAATTAAACATCTTTTTATGACCCATCATCGTAATTATATCAACAAGATATATTATCCATACTACTCTAACCTACTTTTAAAATGCTAGACCTGGTAAGATAATACATCAACTTAGAAACAAGAATGATGTCAGAGGTACATATGGAAAGAAGGCTTCATCCGAGTTAATATTTCCGATCTAGGAAAGCAGGCGTTTGTCTTACCATGCCAGTGTCTTTAGCTCGTAACCACTCAGTATAATTCGAAAATGGTATAATAAAGTAGTTGATATTGAAGAATTACCAAATCGAAGCCACACTTACGCACATAATTCAAAAAAGTCATACTTCTTATAAAGAAAGAGACATTCGCACTCCTCATTCACTCATTCATTACATTTATATCTATCTCACATGCACTCACTTCCAACTCACTTCCATCTCACTTTTTCTCTTTCCTCTCTCTTTCTTTTTCTTTCACTCTTTCAACCTTTCTTCTTTTCTTACTCTATCTCTCTTTCTTCCTTTCACTCTTTTCATTTCTCCTTCTCACATTCTCTATTTATCTTTCACTCTTTACACTTCGCTACGTGCGTAATTTAATCTCTCAAAAATTAGTACTGAACTGATCATTCAAGAGGATTTTCTGTGCTACAGACTTTTTACCTTCTAACACCTTATACAAGCGCGGGGAGAAAAAAGTCTTTGTCAGCATAAAACCCTTTGAAATTATTATAACAAGAAGTACATTTCAAGAAATAAAAAGTTGGTTCAAAAATTACTATGCTATATTTTCATTAAAAACTTTCAAATTGGAAATTTTTAAGATTTCTCTTTCATTTATTATTAAGCCACACAATAATTTTAAATGTTTTGTTAACCTATTTTATAAATAATAATAAGTAAAGTTATTTCGTAATTAATAACGTAATTACTCTTTCAATTCCTTCATTTTTCAACACAACAAAACAATTTTAATTTGAAATTTAAACAAATAATTATTTAACGCAACATAAACATCAAAATAAAAATAAAATAATAGATGTTTTGAAAACACTTTTTTTTTCTGATCGACTAAAATTTAAAATAGTATTATGCTTCTAAATAAAAGATATATTTTATGAAGTATAAATAATAAATTTTATAAATCCGAAATTGTAATTTTGGAAAGACAAAATAAAATACACGTACGTCAAACCGACTATTTTATATCGCAATAATTTTTCAATTAACTCGGCCTTGTATATCACGTTTTTACAACAATTTGTACGCATTCCAGGAATAATTAAATTATTAAGTCTAAACCAATAATGTGAATTTTGAATACAGAATGAATAATGAATGACCTGAGGAGGAGTAATATCGACGCAGTGTTAATTATGATGAAACCTTTGAACTAATAGCGATTAAGAAAATCGTTATGATACAACAACAAGGTAAACTATTAATGCTAATGGATATAATTATTATTTACGCCCATTAAAAAATCAGATAACTTAACAACATTTATATTTACAAGGTCTTAATATTAACAATAAATTTTTCAGGTAAAGTGTTATAATGTAAAGAGAAAGAGAAAGAGAGAGAGAGAGAGAAAGAGAGAGAGAGAGAGAGAGAGAGAGAGAGAGAGAGAGAGAGAGAGAGAGAGAGAGAGAGAGNAGAGAGACAGACAGACAGACAGACAGACAGACAGACAGACAGACAGACAGACAGACAGACAGACAGAGAGAGAGAGAGAGTGAGTGGGAAAGGTAAGAGGGAGTTAGTGTGCAATGAAGGGAGAGGGACAGGAAGAGATTGAGTAAGTGAGAGTTGAGCGAAAGAAGAAGAGAGAGTGAATGGATGAAGGAATTAATAACCTTTTATTTCGTCGTAAAATTTTGCATAATTTGGACACTCCTACATTCAACGACACTAAAAAGAGGTGTCAGATAGTTGGAAAGAAATTGCGGGAGGTTGAAAAATGAGAGAGAATGACGGATAGCGTTTGTGACAGTGTGACAGAAAGGAATGAATGAAATACATTTTTAAAATGAAAAATAAGTTTTATTTCATTAGAAAACAGATAAAATCAATCATGGAGAAGAAAGAGAGAGAGAGTAAGAGAGAAAGAGTGAAAAATGGAGAATATGTATACTAATTTAATTAACACTTAATACATCTCCTTCACTAATTCAAATATACCCATTTTCTATCACAATTAAATATCACAATCGATCTTATTAATTATGTACAATCATTCAAATTAAAGTACATTATATTTAATAAATTAAATTATATTAATTATATTTATAAACAGATACTTTAGTTAGTAATTGTCCAACAACCTTAGTCTATATCTATTTTTAAATTTACTGTGGCTTGACAAACATATATTTTCATTTAAATCATTATATAGTCTTATGGATTTCTGGTAAAATGTATGTATAAATGAAATTTTATTTTTATTTAAAAATAGAGCCTACTATTGTGAATGACAAAATAGATCAGTTTGGTTATTTTAGATAGACCTGAAGGAACAGTCATGATAAATTTATAAAAGAACCTCATGAACTCAGCGAAACCCACATGATTTAATAATAAAAAACTGTCCTTTTTATTAAAACTGCGAGAAAAATGATGGTAAGGAATTTTTTATAACGATAACTTGCACTATATTGGCTTTTTTAAATTAGAGAGAATAATAAAGTAGAATGATGCTTTTCTTTCAGATAATCATGTTACTTATGACCTACTGAAATTTTCCGGTTTGAGCACCCCTGATAAAAATGTTGTAATAAAACATTCATTAGGAGGACAGCGAAGAGCTAGCCCACGTTACTTTTTATAAATAAGCCCTCCTATTGAGGGACCGAATTGAAAAAGCTATATAGCTTCAGGAAGAAAGAAAAAATGCTGAAAAAGTACAAGAATTTTATCGTTCATTTTTAACATTGGGTGTGCTTTTTGCACTTTCTCCAATCTGACTGGATAATAATATAAAATCTTCAATAATTCGCTTTATACCATGTGATAATTAATTTTTTGCCTTCGGAGAAGATAACATTTGGTATTTAAATTAATGAATGTACTACTACTCATGAAGAACACGTCCGTTACTTTTGGCTTCATTTGTATTTTTTAATTAATTGTCATAAGTGCACATGTCTAAACACAAATAAACGTCACACGTGTCAATACGTGTTTGATATGTCTATATTAATACAGTAATGTTAATGCCATCTTGATAATGATCATGGCTTTAAAGCACTTTGAAGCAGTAATTATAACTGTAAACGTTACTTGCCGAGGATCGGTGATTATTCAGGTAGAACACAACATTTGTTGTTGTTGATTACTCGAAGAGAACAAGACTAAAATCACTGATTAGTTATTACATGTGGTTAATAATTATCTTTTCACTATTGATTTATAAAAGGAATGAGTTTAAAAATTTACTAACGAAAGTAAATAAATAAAAACTGAATTTGAGTTTCAAAAATATAATACTATAATGCCCAACATTTATAAAAACCTCTAAATATTCCAGGTTATTAAATGTTTAAAGGTTATTTAACTTCTGTATGTACAGGGTGCCCCGTGAACAGACGTCATTATTTCAAAAGGTTATTCCACATGCCTAATTGGAATGAAAAGTCCGTATTGTTTCGACCCTAATTCTCAATTATATTTGGGATATTTCACGTTTCAGTTAGATCCACCATTCACAACTTTGTTCCATTGAGTTCAGCTTATCTATAAAATGTTTATTCTTCTGTAAATTTTATTAAACCAATGGAAAAAGGAATAAAACCATATGAGATTTTTTTTTAATCTGCAAACAAAATACAAAATCTCAACAAATAAATTGCTTTCACAAGTTCACTAGTTTTCGTAGTCCGCTTGACCAATTAATATCTTTCAATTAATTAAGGTTTTTAGTTGAGATAAAAAAGTTAGTGTCACGAGCGGGATTCGAACCCACGATCTTCGGCAAGATACGCCGCTGCTCTACAACTTAAGCTATCGTGACCTCAATCCACTCGTACACTAACTTCCTATCTCAACCCCACCTTTTAAATTTTCCCTCCTTTTTGCCATTTTTCAAGTGTCGTGTAATCTATTTGATTCTCGCCGACAAATGAATGGTCACGGAGAGCTGTAGAGAAGGTATACATCATTTTAACTTATTAAATTCACTAGTTTCGTGGTCTGCTTGACCAATTAATATCTTCCTTTCATAAGTTTCATAACATTTGTCTAAGTTTTAAGTAAGATTTTCTTAGTTCTTTAAGTACGGAAAAATGTTAATGTACCATTGATATTTAATTGCTTTAAATTTTATGTTTGGTTACAAAAGGTTCAAAAAGTTATTCATTTAAAAAAGTGAAGCAAGATACTCCCCAGAGCTGTAAACTCTGTCAAGCAACAATGTCAGGCTTCCATTGTTGAAGAAGGTATTCATTTGCAACATTTAATTAATTTTTTTAAATATCTTTGTTTCTTCTTATATTCATATTGTAAAATTTACTTTACTTCATTATTTTTTCAAAGATCTGTTAAAATCTTAATAAATCTTTTTTTTAACTGTTTGTAAACAAAAAATTAAAATTTTAAGTCAAATATAAATTAGTGATAACTTGGGAAATTAAGTACATTTATGTAACGCTCATTAGCAGGTGCACCGTTCTTGTAAGCTCCATGTATGTCAGTATTTACAGGAGCAACTTTGGAAGCTCGTACAAGTTTGTCTTCCAAGTGAGTTGTATTCTGATTGGATAATATAATATAAGGAATATAAAGATATAGTATAAGAAAAACAAATGAATCTCACAATTTTTCAATTCTATTTTTTTTGTGTAATCAAATTTTAAGTAGAATTAAGATGAGAATAAGGTAGTAAAAGGTCAAAGTAACCTGGAAATTTAAAAATCTCGAAAAAAAAAGTAAAAATCAGACTTTAGTAGTGACTTTTAGTACAACTTGATTTGTAGAATAAGCTAAAGAAGAATTGCCGTTGGTTCATGTTTCCCGTTTTATGTAATTTCACAGTGTTGTTAATTCAAATTTTTTGTCCATCAAGCTCCCTGACATTTCTTACGGAGGTCTTATTTACTGAATGTCTTGCTATCTTTCTTGACAATGAAGCTCCAAGAATGTATTGGAAATTTTCTCTAACCTGATAGGTAACCCTTGCTCGTCCTCTTTAAGTACAATGTAAACCATTTATCTGATAATGTCATATTTGATACATGGCGTATTTTATTTTTCATCCTGACACAATTTTCCTGATTTGACCGTTCGTCTTCACTAGGGTTTTATGAAACAACCTACATATCGCAGATTTGGAGATGTATCACACGTGGCTCATTTATACAATGACCATAAAAAGTAATGTTACATTTTTTCATGCATGAAACATTGACAAGTCTGCGGAGGTTTTAAAATTCATAATATTTTCTCCGAAACCCCTCTATTCCAATGTACTTCAAATAGTAGCTTTAAATGTTTTATATTACGTAATCCTTGTTTTTAATTACTTTGATACCATATAATATTCGGGTTCTAATATAATATGGGGAGTAATGCTGTCCTACGTGACTTCGCTCATGACACTGACTTTTGTCTCAACCATTGATTTATCTCAACCAATACCTTACCTAAAGATCATTTAATTGAAAGCAGTTATTTGGTCAATCGTACCACGAACTCTAATGAATTTAATTAATAATAATACTGCACAGCAGTAACTGTTAAAAGAACCTATTTCATATTAACGAGCGGTAATTTGTACGAAATAATATAATCGGCTCATTTGCAAATTTTCTTCTCTTTTGCGGATGAATGGATTTATTAGCGACAATGTTGGATGGACGAGTTTGAAGGAAAAAAGGACGTTCTACGGAATATGAATCTGTATACAAATATATTGACTTGGTGCCAACTCTACATAATTTTTATTGTAAATAGTCTAGTATGTATTTGCTATGTAAACTAATAGTGAGTAATTGTATTTATTAGCAAGATTGTTGATGAATGTATGGTTTTTTATGTTATAATCCACTATATGGTCTGAATGATGGTCGGCTGCAATCAGAATATTATAGGGGCAGATAGCCCAAATAGGTTTAGTTAGGTCATAGTATGTGTCGTTATGTATGAAGGCAGGTGGTCGACTGAAAACATAGATGTAATACTGCGGCCACAAAATATATATGGATGATCTGGTTTTATAGAGATCCTATAATTAATACGCGAAGGGGAACGTGGAGTATTGCAGATGCACTATTCCAAGATTCCTGGCATTGCGAATGTATAAGAAATTAAAAATAAGGTAAGAGAAAATACTTCTAAGACTTCATACATAAAACATGATCAAGGAAACTTCTTTAGACACCAGACTGTAATATACATTTTTCTATTGGTGTTATACCTTTTTTGTCATTTCGATTGACGAATTGAATC